ATGTTGCTAAGTAATACAAGGCCTACCTGAACTCCTCACAAAGCCGCTTAGCTTGTATTATATATTAAGACATAGAGGGTTGATGCTTATAGAAGTGTTTGTGCCATTAAAGTTGGAGTTTGTGTTTGGACCTTGAGTGTTATTTCAGCTTAATCCACACCGAGGGGATTTGCAGACCTTAGTCACTCTCCCCTTCCCGCAGGCGGGATGTGACAAGTGCCTATATCTTTCTTTTAATATAACCAAGTGTCAGAACATAGAAGAAATACTAAATTCCAGGCCATAATTACTAAATGAAGTCTTGGCACCATTTTATCTTATAAACCTGGATATTTACATATGCTTGTCAACAATCCCCAGTATTCTGACTTGTATTAAGATGGCCTATCTGCCAACTATTGATGAAAGATGAATGTGTTTTTGTTTCACAAATGATTATTTGAGAAAGCAGTCTTATTATGATTGGTTTTATTCTTCAAACAGGTTGCAACAACAGCTGTTCGCATTACTGAAATAATGAACGTCTTAAGAGCGGAACATTTCCTAGTCTTAATATAAAAAAGATTGAAAACAGTGAAACTAGAACTTGGCTTTCTTTCTCATTATAGGTGTCAGCATCCGCATCTGACACAGTGTTTGATTTAAAATTATTGATTTATTAACAGTTCTCTTGTTTCCAGTACATAAATATTAAATGGAAAGTCTTAAGGAGATAGTTTTCCGAAGTAGCTCCCTATTGTCTACCCTTCTCACATTCCTCAAAAACATTCTCTTTAATAATAGCCTCCATTAACATGCACTATTTTGTAATGATATAATGACATAAAAATATGGCTTCCTTGTCCTGATACCTTAAGAGCCTACGTAATTTTAGGGCAGCTTTGAATCTCTTTAAAACCACCTTAATGGGAAACTTGTCTTTGGGCTTAGTTTTCAGAGCGCTAAATGTTAATTCGGCAGCTTCAGAGTGCAAACCCCTATTGCACCTCGAAACAGGACTAACATTGGAGCACAAGACCTTACAAGCTCTATTATACGTGCAGTACAGCCCACTCATCTCTAGTCTGCAGGCAAAGATAAAATCCGAGGCTGAGAGAATAACTCGGTGTCCGTGTCTACTGACTCCTCACAGGCAGTGACAAAGACTTCAGTGCCAGATGGAGCGGTGATGCCCTCAGCAGCAGGAGGAGGAGGAGCAGCGCTGAATACAAGGATCTGGAGAACTTCACTATTTTTAACTCTTCAACAAAATCTCTGAAACTTTTGATACCTCTCAGACACTGTCAGAGACAACAGCAGATGGATCACTCGTTTCATCCAGCATGACATTTTCATGTTTCCACAGAAAGGTGGGCAAAGAGATTAGTTTTGTCTCATTGTCCTTCTTACTGTATAAATGTGTAAACATAACTAAAAAAATCTCGCCAGTGAATAATACTGTAACTTTGAATAAAGACCTTATTACACAGACTGTAATTAATCTGTTCAAAACAAATGTTGTTTTGCTTGTGGAAGTAGATCTGCCCACATATTTCTCAAGTGCGTTAAAGGAGGATGGTTGTGGCACGTCCCCCCTAGTTCAAAACTATACAATAGTAACTAGTAATCACGCTTTGTTTTTGTGATTCATGCATCAGCAAAGAAAGAGGGGTTGGAATATGTTTCATAGTTTACCATAGCGCTGTGAAAACGTGAACCAAGTCCTGCCTGGGATACTTGTGACTCATCCCTTTGGATTGTTTCTTCCTCAGAAACTTCATATTGTTTCCAAACAGTGTTACCATTTCAAACTTCCCTTATTATTTTGGAGAAGTACACCACAGATGCATTTGTCAGCATTCTTCTGTTCCCCTTACTGGGCTTGCTTTGGTCAATAATCTCCTATTTGCTATTTGAGTAGACTACTTAAAAATTAAAATACAGACTGTCCTTATTGCACTCCTGAAGACCTCTGTGCTGCACAAATTTTCAGTAGGAAATCCAAATAAGTAAAACATAGAATATGCTAAAGAAGAACCAACCAAAACATTGGGATGAGCAAAACCATGCATATAAACGGTTTCCCCCGCAGCCGCAAGGTGTTTCTGCCTTGCCCGCGCACACACGGGCCTGCTCCCCGGGGCGCTCGGCTCCAGCGGCGCCTGGCTGCGGGAAAG